GCTATCTATCATCTCATATCCAACGCGCGCTCGTGGAATAATTGTTAATTAACCCTTTAACTCCCAGAAGCGATCAACATGTTTATGTAACTTCTCCCTAAAATAGCCATAAATTATCCAGCAAACAGGTGAAGAGGATACTCAGACTTATCAGGTGGAAGGTGTTAACTTGATCTAACATCAAATTCTTGTAACTCATTAAACAAGAAAATGCGAGGTAGCCAGAGCAGAGAATTAATAATCAGATCTCTGTTGCAAGCTAACAGAGCTGCATAAACTTCAAGTATGAACAAATTTCTGAGAATCAGCGCAATAATGGAGAAGGATAATCAACACACTGATAAACCTATAAGGACTAAATTCTCATAACTGACATTTGAAGCAATGAATGGCGGGAAGGTGGAAGGTCTGATAATATTCAATCATTACCAGTAGTTAACAATATGTAAGAAGCTGTCCTCAGCAAAAATTTTTTTTCCCTTACCAAATGGTTCGTCCTGTAAGCTTGTACTGCGTTCTTTAGCAGATGAAATCAAACGTCCTCGACTGGAAGAAATCGCGTGACAGTTGCCAATATTATCAGGTAATGTGCAAGAAGTTTGTTTATGAACGCAGACCACAGAATTGATTTGCATATTTTGCAGTGCTCCATTTCCCCCTTCAACAACATCATCTCTCTCCCGCAAGAACTGCTGGCATTCGCTCCCGGTACTGCAGTTACTACGTACAGAGGTTGCTGAACTATTCTTTCTTTGATTTCTACTCCGCAAAAGACGGATAATAGGACTGGAAATTGCAGATGGACCTGCTTTGCATCTGACATCAACAATGGGAGGTTTGATGATTGTCAATGGAAAATCGCCTGATATTGTCCGTCCTGTAGGCATCCTGGGTAAAATAGCTGTTGCACTTTCTAGAGGAATCATGATACTATGTGCAAATGTTTTTAAACTGGCGTAGTTTGATTTAAAGTGTCTCGATTACTTAATTTTCTCTAAATCTCCAAAAGTCACCGTGGAGCCCTTGTCATTTGTTTTGGAATTTGAGGAACTTTGAACATCGTTGCTATGGGGACTTTTCATGTAACCTGGCTTTTGGTTGATACCGCTGACAAGTCATCCACTTTCACGAAGAAACGATCGAAGAAACGAAGAGACAAGATTTTCCACGTGAGTCTGAGAAAAAATATAAACAGCTTGGAATGAGGCCTTTGACGGAAGAAGAAACTCAAATTGTGTTTGAAAAACTAGCAAAATAGTGAGTACAACTCCTTACTTTCGTCATCAATGTGGCGGTTCCGTCAGAAAGTAAAGTTTGAAAAGAGGGGTTTTATTTCAGTGGTCCTATTATCACGATGTTAACTATCTGTATATTTTTTGATTTTGTAGTATTGGAGACAATATAAAACTCCTTATCGACAGACCAGATGGAAATTATTGTTTTAGATTGCATGAAGACCGAGTTTATTATGTCAGGTTAGTAAACAATGAGGTAGTAGGAAATACGCAATACGCTAAGCTTAGAGATTCAGCGTAAAATGACTAGTTTTGACAAAACTGCATCCGTTCAGGTGATTTAAAAAGTAAGGATCCTTCTGTCGAAATCCTGTAACAAATCCAATTTTTGCAAATTTGTGACCCATAGTTGTGACTGATTTTTCGTATTCAGTGAAGAAACCATGAGAAAAGCCACAAATGTAGCCAGAGAGAACCTGATAAGTATTGGAACATGTATTGGGAAGTTTACAAAGACCAGAAAATTCAGACTTCACATTACAGCGCTTGATTTCATGGCACCATATGCAAAGGTCAGTAATTATTGCCCCAGTTTAATAATAATCAGCTGTAACAGAGTCTTCAAGTATTCCCTTATCAGAAGGGAGGTGCAAGAGGAATGTGTCACTGGAAGGCTCTCTCAGTGGCCACTGCAATTTTTCCTCCCTTGCACTACCATGTAGGTCAATCCTGCATTCCTGTTCCCTTTGTTGTTGTAAGCTTTAACTTCATGAGATAAGTACACCTGCAGGGCCAGGTTGTTGTTCAAAGCTAAGTTAAGATAACTTGGGTTTATATGAAATTTGATGTCAGATCTGAAAGCTTGAAAAGGAAAGTCAGTTCCACTCTTCTTGTCAACAATTTGATTATTGGATAATTTAAAAGAACAGGAAAAATTATTCCAAAAAGCCTTTTGAACAGAAGAATAAAGAAACCTGGAGTAAAATTTGACTTAGGTCAGTGGTAATTGGCTTTCAAACAACTGGGGACTGTCTTCAAATTTTAGGCGATTTCTTGTATGTGATGGATTCAAATTGTGCATTCAGTGGCTGCAGCAGTAAATATGCTTCTTCATCTTCAGTACAAAATCTGGGTGAAGCCAGCTGGAGAGCAGTCTTTTCTTTATGGGAATCACATTTTGAAGTCTGGCCTAGGCAGGATAACAGAAAATACACCACAGTATCAAGGAGTTATTGTATACTCTATGAATGACCTTCCACTGGTGAGTGAAGTAAAGCAAATGAGACAAAGTTATGAAAAGTGACTCCCTGAAGGGAGGTTTTGCATAAATTTATCAGAATGGGGCGAATTTCTCCAAAAATATAATAGAAGCAATGGCACCATCAACTGTTAAACTCCCATCATTGACCAAGGTAGTATTTCTCCTTACAATAGCAGTATGTTATCAAGCAGTCAAGTGATGAGAATAAAGAAAAACATCAAATAGGGGATTATTAGTTGATCCAATACCAAACTCACATCATATAAGAATTGTATGGCAGACAGCAAGGAGAATTACTAAGGAGATTGGGAGAGGGCCAATGACTGGTATTTGAGTATTTAAGGATTTGTACAAAGTACTGGAGCAGAAACAATAGGACATAGGTCCCCTACGAAGTTTAAACTCCAACAAACCTACCCATCCCACCCCAGGGGAGGACATCCATCACCGTAATCTTGTGCATGGGAAATTAACGTCTCCTACCCCTAACCCTGCAGGAGACGGGACCTCCATTTATTCGTCTCTATCCGAGAAGACGAGAATATTTAACCATTTTTTGATGTTATAGAAAGGTAGCATATTCTTCTCAATTATTTTAAGACCTTGAGTGTTGGTCTGGCCAGGGCTCGAACCCTCAACCTCCCACACAACAGTCCAGCCCTCTATCTATTGAGCTAACTGGTGAGGCAAACAAGAGAAATATGCAAGTGCCATACCCATTGATAGGTGTCTGGGGTGGTGGACAGGGTTTGGCAATCCATAAAGAAATGAAAGAGGCGATCATTGGAATTTTCATGAACTGTTAGGGTAAAGTCTGTGTTTGCACCTAGTGGCCCGGCCAGCCAGAGCATATCCCAGGCCTCTTGACCCCAAATCAAGTCCACTGACCATTGGGTCACTGCTTCTTTCACAAACATACAATACAATACAATACTTTAATTTTGCTCTGAATATGGGTGTGACAGTAATTCATTTCACTTGTAAAAGGTCCACCAAACATATTTAAACATCAAGACAAAAGCAAGAGAATTTAGAATTGTAACAACAAAGGCAGGCAGTGTTGTACTAAGTTCCTTTTTTTGGCTTAGGGCATTTTCACCCTAAAATTTCCTCTGTAAGGGTCAGTGTGCCTTGTCTCTGATGACAACTTCCACTCAGGTTGTCAAAACATTGGTCACCCCCCCAGACAATCAGACTACTTGATGACAAGGGTCTGAAAGTCATGATTTTGACTTCTTTGTCTCTTGGTGAGGGTGCAAGCAATCATCCTGAAATCCTCTAAACTTGTCACTCTCAAGATTTTGATAGTAATTCTCATTACTGTCTGTCATACAATTTGTACAATATCAGTTCAGAGAATTTGCTATTGGATCAACTTCTAATCCCTCTTTATATTTAGATTATATTTTCTTTATATTTAGATTATATTTTTCATTCTCGTCACTTGTCTGCTTGATGTTGTGAGGATATTGTAAGGAGAAATTCTGTATTGATCACTTGTAGGATTTTAAGGAGATTTACAGGACTCATATGATGCAGCACTTGTCCCAAAAGTACAATTAAGCAAATGTAGAAAGCATTCAGTGAGACAGTTGATTCTAAAAAATAATTCAAATACACTAAAAAATGTTTCGTTTTTCAGGGTTTTGGAGCCACATCCCGTTCAACACAAGATTGTCGCCGAGCAAATCCTACAGATATCATTTGTTTCCATCAAGCTGATGTTGGGGAATACCTAAGATCTGAGGACACTTTGACATGACAAAATACTGAGAACAATTAACGATCAGTTTTTAGGCATTTTATCTTTTATTTGAAATTGTAATAACATTGAACTGTAGCTAAAAAATTAAGTGAAAAAAGTAGCCTATTGTGGTGAGAGCAATAATCCGGAGAAACGTACTTTTCAATATTTATTTTGTAGGATGTTACTACTAATTAAAAAATATAATACTGTTTGTTCGTGAGTAAAAAAATAGTGAAAAATAAAAAAACAAGCACTCGGTCACTTCGTAAGAACCCGAGAATAATAAACGATCAGTTTTTAGGCATTTATCTCTTATTTGGAATTGTAGTAACATTGAACTGTAGCTAAAAAAATTAGTGAAAAAATAGCCTACTGTGGTGAGCAACGATCAGGAGAAACGTATTTTTCAATATTTATTTTGTGAGATGCAACTACTATCTAAAGAAATATAATACTGTTTGTTCGACTCATGAATAAAAAAAAAAGCACTTGAAAATAAAATTTAAAGGAAAGACAAGCCCTCAGCCACGTCGTAAGAATCTTAACTTAAGAAATTTCTGCTGCCGCGGTGGCAAGCCCTTTACTTTGTTCCGACAATATGCATGTGCGAGTAAAAATTGCTCTGAACTTTACATTTGCCAAATTTGCTCCGATGGGTTTTCTACTTATCATTGCGAGTTTGTTTGTCTGTTTGTTGATATATTTATTTAGTGTACAGGTGAGAGGACAATAGGACACGTAGTCCCTTACTAGGTTCACCCACCTAAACCAGCCCCAACCCACCCAAGGTTTTCAGCTTTTTTCTTCGTCATTTATACCATTTTTGCCGTTTCTAATACTGCGCGTTATTTGACAGTCCTTGAATTTAAAGCCAGTTTCTTCGCATAATCACTTTTTTAAGTCAGTGTGTCCACAGTCGCGCTTTTCGCAGTTCTCTGTTTTGGGAGTTTTCCAATTGCAGTTTCTATTTTATTATATAAATGCGTTATTCACCAAGAATGAGGTCAAGATAGCTGGATATTGGCCGAGTTCTTATTTTTGCATTTTTATGGACCGAGACGAAGTCGAGGTCCATAAAAAATGTGAAAAAAGAACGAGGCTAATATCCAGCCATCTTGACCGAACAAGCTTGGTTAATAAAGGGTTTATTATATTGCAAAAAGATTTCGCTTTACTAAGAATTAAGAACGACCTCTTCTCTTCGAGAGCCAGGAAAGAAAACCAACTGTGTTTGTAGCACAACAAACTCACGAGAGTCGTTTCTGTTTTCTTCGTTTTGACTATTTTTAGCAGCTTTTTGCGTTTCCATCGTCAAAATTGTCCAAGAATTACGAACGTGGTTCTAATTCATGCGCGGGATCAATGCGGGTAATCCCGAGCGGGCAAGATGGGTCCATCTTGCCCGCTCGGGTAGCCAATCAGAAGACTGGATTCGCTTCATCTTGTCCATGGGTACTGCGAGCGATGTAGTAGATGGCGTTATTAATGTACTAAGTATTTTTGCTGTTTCGCTTCGTTTGTATTCTTTTTTTCTGTTTGCAATTTGTTTATTTAGTTAACTTGTATCTGTGGTTTTAGTTTCAACCTACTTCTACTACTACTGCTACTGCCGCTCGTGGAAATACATTTTCAAGTTGAAAAGGTAACGGTTTCCCAGCTATGTACCATTATCATATGGTTCATCTAAAAGTCTATAAAGAAATTACCCAGTTATTTCATTGAGTTATCTTGACAACGGTGTCATTACGTATGGTTTACCTTGGATGTCTCAAAACTCGACTCGAGCCCAGATCCTCGAAGTTTTCGAGAAACGGAAATCGAGTGCCGAGAGACAGTCAACTTACTATTGATTGGTATCATTCGTATCTCGAAATCTTTATCAGCTTCAAGATTCTTATTTAGTTAGAATAAAAATATACTTATTAGGTAATAAATTAATGTAAAACAAAGACCTCTATCCCGATTAATTTGAAATCTTTATCGCTTTTTTAGCTGTTTTCTTCTTTTTGGTAACCAACCACGTTCACTTATATTTCTAACGAGGCATTTAGATCGTTTCAACTATTCATCTCTTTTTGCCTGACATCAGTTATAGGCAATTTTAATTTTTTTTCTGATCTTGACGATATGTACTCTAACTTTCTGATGCATTTGCAGCTTGGTGTAAATTTTGCACTGATTCCAAATTGAGTAAAAAATAATTTCTTAAACGCGTTTTACTCATTTTCTTAAACTCGTTGGTATCAGTTATTAGTAAACATTTCTTGGTGCTAATATTTAAACTGGCACTCGCTAGTGAAGAATTTTAGTTGAAGTTCACCATCATGGCTTGGATCACTAGAGTCAAAGAAGTTACTGCTGGAGCTGACCATACAGAGGATGGCGGCATATTGGGCAATTACGTCTAAAAGCAAAAGAAACAAAAACTGTGAGATATAGGGCTGGCTCTCCAAGCAAACTCTTCAAAGGCGGGAAAAAAGGAGTGATCAAGTCCCGGATGAGTTTAGTTGTGCATCTGATTTGTTGAGAGGCTGACGTGAGTTTTCTAAACCAATTACAGGGCGAGGTGAAAGAAAGGCAATGCAATCCTGGTTACTTTTGAAATTCGATTGAAATTGCTCATAGCCAGTAAGGACTCAAAGTGAAAGCAGACAAACTCCTTGAAGCGCGGAAAAACGTGTGTGATCATGTCGCAATTGGGTTTAGAGGCTGGCGCGAGTTTACTGAACCGATCGGAGAGTGACGTATAGCAAAACCAAAGCAATCCCGGATTACTTTCGACACTCGTCGTTAGATACTGTACCTCATCGGGTAAAATAGCGCAATTTATTGCACTTACAGAATATGGGTATGATACAGTTTACATCCCTAGAGCGTGATAACGTTTTCATGGCACTAAGAGGATCTTAATACATCAATTGACAACAGCGAATACTGTTTCATGCTGACAACGTAGTCTTCCCTTAAAGACTGCCGTCGTAATCACTTATCATGTTTGAAATTTTCTTGATAATATCTGATCACCATTATCATTTCTCACCGTTATCATCACCACTATTCCTTAATTTCTACTCTCGCTCATCAATATCCTTTAAAACTTTACGAATAGTTGTTATAGACTATTTAAGCATATATACTTACACGCCATTCTGTATCATTGCAATGGCACATTCCCTGTGAACCTTGTGAGAGCATGGCAGGATCTGACATCCGCTGAACGCATCCTGAAATAGCGAGCAGAAATTGAAGTGTCAGAAACACTCGCACCCTGAAGTGTTCATCATCGTAAACTCTGTCTCCTGCGGGGGCTTTCGATGTCGTTAAAGATTATTGCTAACAAACCTAAACTCCCCACTCGATGTTTGAAGCAATTTAAAAGAAAAAAATATGAGCTATAATTACCTCTAAGCAGATGCAACACTCGTCATGTCCTGAGTTCGGCCGACATTTGTGTTTTCCTTCCAGTCGCTTGTCCAGGCAAACATTGCACACATCGCAGTGAAAGGATCTGTCCTTGTAAATGCTGAAAAGCAGATTGTTGAAATTGTATGATACGGCCCATCCCGTCACTAACGTAATTCCAAGCCGACGGATTTGTCTCCCAAAACTTTAAATGTTTGCAAAGCAAGAACTTTTGAAATGTTCTTTGCCAAAGTAAAACAGGCCAGTGTGCAATGTATAGTTTTATTACACGACTCGGGCAGTCAGAGGGCCAATAACTAAAATCAACCAATCAAAATGCTCTATTGCCGGTCCAATATTCTCTCAGTATTGGACCGGGCACTGTACCGAATGGTCCCGAATGATACTGCACTTGTGTCCCTTTGAACTTCAGTCGTATAATAAATCTCTTATCAACCAAGCTTGCTCGGGACCGTACTTGAAGAATATCGGCCCGAGATCTTTTTTGTACGGACCTCGCTGCGCTCGGTCCGTACTGTCAAGACCTCGGGCCGATATTCTCCAAGTACGACCCTCGCGCTTGGTTAATAAGATATATTTCTTCTTTCAATCTATGGAACATCTTTTGAAACTATCTTCAATACGTTCAAAATAAAGTATTCATTTTAAAAAGGCGTTTGATTCTGTATAAAACTGGCTAGAATGTTTTGCACACAAGCCAATTAGCGTTTTAAAAAGTCCTAGTGTCTTTCAGTCGAAAAACAACTTACCGGCAGATTTCGCACTTCTCGCAGTGAAAAGGGTTCTTGTCAACTCCTGTAAAATGCTTACACTTCGGGCAGAAATATTCTGACAATTTCAAGCCACAACGTCTGCAGGTTTGACTTCCTTCATTAATCTGCAGTAACTGAGAATATTATTTGTCAGAAGTAAAAATATTTTGTCGACAACTTGTCAACTGAACGTTGCGGGTTATAAATGTTTCCGGCATAAGCAAAATTTGTGTAGAGGCGTGACTTAAAACCCTGCCCAGTAGAGCACATCTCTCTTGTTTTAATAGAGTGACGAAAATAAACCAGCATGTGGTATTGGTTTCATTATAGAACTATATGATCGAAACAAGACTCGTACCACCTTACAACCCAATCAGATGCCAAACTAAGACCAGTGGGGACCTGGGCACAGCTGCTTCCCGCGCTTTGTTCTGATTGGCCTTAATGTTCATGAGGAATTTGCCTTTTACGACGCTCAAGCCGAAGGCTTTCTATTGATCTTGGTTTTCTGATCAATCTGAGGTTAGATGTAATTCACTCCCCGTTGGATCTTAATGACAGGTATTTTGGGATAGAATCGGGTAACTATTTCTAAACTACTTCAGTACGACAAGAGTCCAAGTATCCAAAAGAGACTAACTTCTTCTTCGCGTCCGCAATTTCCGCACTTGACATGCGTCGCATGATGTGCCTTCTTATCATCAGCAGCGCATGTCACCGATAAATTGTGACAGCGGTGTCACGGATTAAACACTCCGCAACATGGAAACTTGACACTCCATCTCCGCTGGTAATGTTCTCATTGCCATAGTGGAGTCTCCTGAAGGGGAAGGCTCTCTTCTACTATTCTGTCATGTCTTATTCTTGTTTCCCGTTCTCTTCGCTCTTCCAATTCTCTTTCCATTCTCTCTCTATTTTCTCTTTCTTCCCTCTCTCTCGTTTCTCTTTCTTCTCCTTCTCTCATTTCTCTCTGTTCCCTCTCTCTTCTTTCTCTCTCCTCTTGTTCTCTCATTTCCCTTTCTTCTCTCTCTTTTCTTTCTCTTGCCTCTCTTTGCCTCGTTTCCCTTATCTCCCTATGTCTTTGTGCCGCCTCTCTCTGTCTTTTGGTTCGTTCTTCTCGTTCTTTAAGAATTCTATCGATTTCAGCCACTTGTTGTTCTAGAGAAGCCAGTGAAGGGTCCCTAAGCGATACTGAAGCAAGTGAACCTTCCTGTTGATTATTGAATAGGTCATGATTCCTCAGGCTTTCTTCTCGTCTCTTTGGATGAACCATTTCTGGTGAGGTCAAACCACTATTTGCTTGGTTATCTCTATGTGAGTGCCTGTCCCTGTTGAAGTCCCCTACTCGTTCTCGTCCATAATTACTTAACATATCATAACTGGAAGTAACTCGGGCTACACTTCCTGACATCGTTATTGAAGAGAATTGCGAAGTGGTGGTCGGAGAACTTATCCTGGAGCTTGGTGTGGTAACTGCTGGATATCTCACAGCGGGCGCCAATGGGCTGACCCCAAGTGAAGGTGATGCTGTCTGAGTCCCATTTCCTGCAGTAAAGTCACCAAAACTTGAAAAGCTCGTTTGATGTACATTACTTGGCATATTTTCATTCCAGTTAAACCGGTCAATGTCGCAGCTGAAGTTACTGGTGTTGGGGAATTGCCCCATCATTGATGTCACAGGTTGGTAATTTACCGGCTTTGAATCTCTATACCGTGGAATCAACTCCCTGGGATATGCATTCTCTAGCACCAACCCACTTCTTTCAGGAGCCGGCGAACGGGGGAGGTTCCAAAGTGAGGAGGAGCTGCTGTTACTGGTTATAGAAGTTTGGGTCCAATCGTTTGAATACTTGTTGCTAGTGCACAGGTCATAACTTTCTGTAAACGAGCTCTGCGAAATACTTGGATCTGTTGAGTGACGGGCGAGAAAATTCTGATCAATACCAGTTGTCTCCAAGGATGGTATCTTTCCATTCTGGTAATGTGCATCGAACAGCACTGGATTCTGCGGCACAATCTTTGGTCTTGCTCCTTGACTTGCAGCTATACCATCTCTTTCCGCCGAACGCTCGGCATTATTTCCTACTTCAAAGCTTTTAGCTTTTTGCCGGTCATTAGCTGTCTTCTTATCATTTCTGGTGTTTGGATTTTCACAAGAAGTGTCATTATTGCTGTTGATACTATTGCTACCTACTGGGTTTCTATTACTATTCTCTACACTAAAGTTGCCCGTGTCCTCGTCAATGCTGTGCTGAGAGTTAAATCGCAAGCTGACGTTTAATTCCTCAGTCTGAGACTCTGCAGTTTCATCTGACCTTACAGATGTTTCGTCTGCATTTGGACATAGAAGTGCTTGAATTGTGTAACTCTTAGCACAAACGCCATTGTTGTCCTCAACATCGTGGCTAGTGTTCTCTCCGTCATCATTGTGATATTTGCAGTCACAGTTTTCATCACAATTCTCATAATCTTTATCTCCATTGCCTCTGTTATCGTCACTGTTGTCATTGTTTTTCTCGTTGTTTCTACCGACACCATCATCGTCATTATCATAACCACCACCACCAAGGCTGTGGTTGCCATTACAATTGCTAACATTATTACTGGTGTTAATTCCACGTTCGTCTTCGTCTTCAGAGTTACTGTCTTGGCTATCACTAGGGTGAGTTGCATACCCTTTAAGATGAGTATGGAATCTTATGCCTTTCTCCCCTCTAGTACGATGATCCAAAGGTAATTTTGAGCATTTGGATCTTATTCGGGGGCTAGACTGGTTCGGTTCAGCGTGTACATGTTCCATGTTGTTTCTCTGATCTGTGGCTGCCACAGCTTCTGAGATGAATAAATTTTGTTAGCTTAAGCCTTCGCATATAATTTTCGTCGCTGGGAAAATACACAAATAAAGCAACATTTATCAGATAACGAAACGATGAATCGAAGGCAGGGACGAGGCTGGAGAATTACGTTTTTGGTTCATTGGGGAGCTCGAGCTAATGGGCGAAGAGGGGGAGGGGAGGGGGAATTGGCATACCGAAAGAGATTAAGTAACGGGACACAAGGTTTGAGAAGCTGAGGGTCAGGATCCGGAGATATCAGGGGTTGTATGGCAAAGGGACAAAGAGGCTGTAAGTATGATTTACACAGGGATGAATTAGCGGTCAAGATCGGAAGACTCCTACCAAATTCTTTTTCGTGTCTCTCTTTCTGTATCTCTCCAGTAAGCCGGTAATTTGCAACAGTTAGACTTCTCTTCGCAACGTCACGTTCATACAGAACGCGACCGTATTCTTCTTTTAACATACGACAGTAATTGTCTTCATTCAAGAGTTTTGCCCCGTGCCCTACACATTCACCCGATGGTGAATTTCCAACCACGCTATCCAGGAGGGGAGCTTTTGTTTGGTTGGTCGCCGTTTCTGGTTTTGCGTGTACGGCTCTTCTCTATGGCTTTCAGTATCTCAAGGGATGTCACTAAAATCAAGGAAAAAGAATCCTACCATGAGACCAGTCATTACATATCACCTGAGGGGAGGAATAGAGGAACTTGGAGGATCACATAGTTTTCAGAGGGAACCGAGCGAGAATCAGCAGCTGCAAACAGAGTGTAAAGGGAGGCTCTCGATAACCGACTGGGGATTAACTGCCAGTGAGGAGATATATCAACCAAAATCCTCTGAACAACCCCCCCTCTCCTCCCGGCGAGCAATAATGACCACTCCCTAACATTCGTACCATGAACCATCCTATCGACAAATTTACTTCAAGAGATCGGTTAGCAATCTCTTGCTTACTTTTATTAGACTGAAAACGTTACCAACCTTAATCGTTCAAGTTTAGCTTGTCATTTCTTTCTATATTTCATTCTGAATCATAAGAGAGCATTTTCTACGGCCACTGAAGCTTAATTATAGCAATTAAAACACACACTGCAATAAAACCACTCCTGACAACAGCAGTAAAAACAACAACAACAACAAAAATCCATTATGGGAAATATCAAGAGCCATAATTGTCCCAATTATGGCTCTTGGAAATATCTAAAAATGATATTTTAAAAATTACACAATAACGTATCAGAGTCTTATTTGTAGTTAGATCGGTCAAAGACGTTTAAGAATATTTTCACCCATCTGCTAAAAATTCTCTAGGGTCGTCATATTTGTAGTTGAGGCAAGATCCAAATTCCACAATCCAAAAGTGGAGTCCAATCCAAATTTATAATTTTTTAGGTTGTTATGGCACCAAGGTTTTTGAGTAATGAAATATCGAGTTTGAGTAAAAATCAATTTCACCGAGATAGTGAAAACATCGGTCGATCACTCAATGAAACAATGAAAAATTAAATTTTCTTCGCCATATATTTGGTTGATTCATTTCGAGTGTTATTTCTTTTAGGGAGCACCTCATGGTGACTCACAAATTCAGCCTTGAGATTTAAGTTTGTTATTTATATTTGTAATCCGTGACAATCTTCTTCAACTTTAACTATCCTTGTTTCTTTTGAATCCTTTATGGTTTTTCTCTATCGTTGTGGAATGTCACTCGACAGTTTCCCTAAAACTACGACTACTTTTGACAACTTAAAATCTTTCAATGTGGGTCCTTTAAGAAGGCTGTGGTCAATATTTTATTTCAATATTTGAGACAATTGCTCGAATAAATCATACAATCTTCTGAGAGTCAGTCTCAGTAAATAAAATTAAAGGTAACGTAGAACTTACTTTTGCTGAATGAAAACACTTGCACGTGTATTTCCTCCGTTTGATTTAGTGCTGACACTACACACGTTCCCTTTTTATATAAAAGTTAGAGAGTCAATATTGCATCAAGCCGTGTAAGATGTGTCAGCTTTTTTTGGCATTGCATCACGACACTATTTTTAATTATGCATACGATTTGTTGAAAACAGTGGTGATAAGAATCCTGTGTCGGACACTGTTTTAGAACTGTATGGGGTCATATAAGGAAATTTTTCCGCTCTTTGTTGACTTTTGGGGAATTTTATCAGACGTAGACTTCGACGTCTCTTGCGCGTTTAAAGGAAGCCTGAATTATAATCGGAGAGACGAACAGCTATGTCGACGTAATCGCTTCTGAGCAGTTATGGTAGCATCGTCGCCGAGCTAGCGACACAGAACGACACTATTTCAGCAACAGATATTGCGTGACTAACTCACTCAGACCCGTAATTTGTCTTTATTACAGATTTTTTCATCCACTCCTCCGTTTCATTTACGTAAAACGTCTGTAACTTCGATAAGAATTAGTCCGGTGTCGGTCCAAATAGCTTGAGATTCATGGACAGATAAAAGTGTTGTCTTGTCACGGGCGTGAAATAAGGAAAAATCTGAGTTCCCGTGAGGATCGAGCCGCACTCCGATGCTAACTATGCTACCCCTGAGCCACAGACTCTATGGTGGACAAGGCCATTGCAAAATTCATATATGACACACGTCGTGCACACTGCTAGGATCAGCAATGTCGATACTATCATGATGGGAAACTGGTTTGAACTCGGTGAAGAAGTAGAGAAAGATGTTCGTGGACTCGACAAATCGCAACACGAACAAGTCGGTATACTAATAACACTGGGAATTGTTCATTTTGACAGTGATATTTCACCAATCCATCAATGTTTTCAAAACTAAAAAAAGGCAGTCGCTGATAATCGGTTGATGTTGGAACATTCGAGTCAGCAACAGGCGCGTAGCGTCCTGTATGCATATACGCACGTGCGTATTTGAAGTGACCAGAAAATTTTGAAAACAATGTTGTGTTTGCGCCCAGTTTGCTCAAAATAAGGGCGAGACGCTTTGTTCCTTGCTTGTATTCACACGACTATTTCGAACAAGAAATAAAGAACGCAGTATTTTTCGCTCAGTTTACTTAGTTTTATAGATCATATGTACTTGTGCGTACTTGAAAAAACGACCACGCTACGCACCTGAGCAATCCAATTAAAATTAAATTTCTAACTTCCGCGTACGTGATCACTGTCGCGCACAAGGCCTTAAGTCACAATGAAGAAACGCGCTTTGTCAGCGCAAGTTTTCTCCTTTTGCTGAAATGACATGAAACGTACAAAAACGTTATGAAATTCGATTAGTTCTTTGGATTGACAAATTTACACGCTGGGATTTGATTTTTCAGATCTTATTTCCGTGATTTCAATACTTGTCAAGACAGTGTGCGTCAGATCGTGAAATATTGGCATGATGTGCACGGGAATCAAAGTATAATCTGTTGTTGTCAAACTGGACAAATATCTACACATGAATTATAACATATTTTCTCTATAAAAGGGTAATAATTTAAACTGCAGATAAAACAGAAGTTAGGTATATGTGAAGCAGTGTAAATATTGAAGCAGTCATTTACTTTTCTCACTTCTCCGAGCTGTCGAGGAAACGTAATTCAGACTGGGTTAACGCATACGTGAATCAGTGTGACAAAAACTTTATCATCCAAAGGTCCTCTTTGCTGAATTTAGCGAGAAATGAATTGAAACCGTTAAGATCTGTACACAAATGTTAGTTTTAAATGTTAGTGAAAGTCGTCGAGAGTACATAGACATGTTCGTGGAAAAGAGAAGCAATTGTCAGCTAAATATTACGGTCAAACATTGGACCGAGCTTACAGTTGGGAAGTTTCTTCCTTGCTCTCGATCTGACACATTCAAAGCGCCTTCAAGAGAAAGATATCACAGAAACTTGGTCTCCCACTGAAGAGTGTCGGATCTCCGTCTGATGCTATCAACATTATCTATGCTTTGTTTGAGGAAATTTTATATCCCGTTTATCTGGTCTCGTACCCATTCCCCATGTTCCTCTCTACTTCTCCTTCCCAGACCTCGCTGGGACCTATGGGCGAGATTGAAACGAGATAAGAAGTACTACAGAGCTATAAATCGCGCAACACTAGGAGATTTTGCCACCTGAAACCGCAAGCCAGTGGGACAACGAGACCTCCTGACGTCCACGACAATGGATCAAGATTTCCCTGGACAAGTACAGCATTGCTGACATGTTTTTTTACCTCGCACAGTGAAGCGTTGAGGAGGACGACGCAATCTAAGTGGGCAAATTTGTCAAAGGCAAATAAAAAACCCGTAGAAAAAAGTGAAAAGCCCGGAATGTAATTGAATGAGAATAGCGTCTGTTGTGTTATGAGTAGTTCTTTAAAGCCTCCCGACACATGTAAAGATGAGGTGGACCAAAGTGGCCGGTATTCTGAAGTTGCTCCAAGCCGGAAAATGTGCTCAGAAACCAAGACAACGAATCGCAATACATCTTAAGGAATACCTTTATTCCTGAAACAAGTTCCCTTGTGTAGGTTTTGTATGATTTAAAAATTATGATTCGAGGCGATTGGTTATGTATTTGTAACAAGGCTGGTATTTGCAAAATGAAAGAAATATGAGCTTGCTGCGAAAATTCCCTCGGGGGATTCCGCCCATTTTCAAGATTGACACCTTGATTTTTCAACTTTGACTTAAAAAACCTTTCTTATTAATAACTGCACCGATTCCAAATTGATAACAAAATAATTCAAAGTACTTTCTCTTCGTCTTTAACTCATAAGCATCAGATGAAACGTTAGCAGGCACCTGGCTGCAAAGTACACATCTCTCTGTTTCGAGAGTCTGAGAAGTTACTGCTGGAGGTGACCTTACAAGGGATGGCGGCACATTGGGCATTTATGTCTAAAAGCAAAAGAAACAAACAACTGTGAGCTACAGAGCTCTCCAAGCAAACTCTTCAAAGTAGGGAAAAAAGGAGTGATCAAGTCCCGGATGGGTTTAGATTTTATTTGTTGAGGCGTGAGTTTCGTAAACCAATCACAGGGCTAGGTGAAGGAAACCCTTGCATCTTGGTTGCTTTTGAAACTCGATTGAAATTGCTCATAGCCAATAACAAGTCAAAGAGAAAGCGTGCAAACTCCTTGAAACTCGGTAAAGCGTGCGCGATGAAAATGTAAAGCGTGCGCAATTGGCTTTTAGAGGCTGGCGCGTTTTTCTGGATTGAAGCAAAGCCAAAGCAATCCCGGCACTATTGTTAGATAATGTCAGTACCTCATTGCGTAAAATAGCGCTACTTATTACCACCACAGAATCTGGGTTTGATGTTTACATCCCTAAAACGTAATAGCGTTATCATGGCACTAGTTTGAAGAATCGATAGAAATCAATTGGCAACATCGAAAACGGTTTTCTAAAATAAATAAATGACCGGTTATTAAGACTCATTGCAGCAATTTACAGAATGGCTGAATTACTGAGCTCTTTCACAAAACATACGAAAACAGCATTGTCTCTACGAAGCACTGACGTTAATATCCCTTTTTTATGTTTGAAAATCTTATCGATTATATCTAAATATCATCATCATTTACATATGATACACGATCCTCGCAGTAGATAGCGCTATTTAAGCAATAGCGAAAATCAGACCTGAAAAAAAAAATCAGGTCTGTACGGGACTCGAACCACTGACCTTTGCGATACTAGTGCGCTATTGCTTAAATAGCGCTATCTACTGCGAGGGTTGTGTATCATATGTATCTAATACCGCAGTACAAAGTATATGAAGTTCATATATTTCCGGCATTGTATCTTACTGATTATCATTTATCATCGTTATCGTCAACACCATTCTTTAAGTTAAACTCTCGCACGTTAATATCCTTTAAAACGTTACGAACAGTTGTTATGGACTATTTGAGCATACTTACAAGCCTCTCTGTCAATATCACTTCACAGGGTAAACAATACTTTTATAAGTTACCTTATTTAGGCAGTTTTTCTACTGTAGCTAAAAACAAAATACGTCGCCTTCTTAGTCGTTTCTGTGGTGATCTTGACATTAAATTAGTGTTTACCACGTTTAAATTAAGAAATCTTTTCTCAGTGAAGGATTCTGTCCCTAGAGAACTTCGTTCACGTGTGGTTTATAAATTTACTTGTGCTTGCTGTAATGCTTGCTATATCGGCGAAACTGGTCGTCATTTTTCCACACGCGTCCGTGAACATCTCTCTTCAAACAAGTCTTCACATATCTTCAAATATTTAAAAAACTCAGAAAGTTGTCGTCAATCTTGCTCTGCGGATTGTTACAGTTAGCTTACCAGACTCAACATTGCCTATTCGTACAGATTGGTTACGGTTAGTTAGGTAGCTTTCAAACCAGCCAAGTGGAGGACCTGTGACACCGTACACATGGAGTTTAGAAAGTAAAATTTTGTGATTAACTGTATCGACAGCTTTTGATAGATCCAGAAAAAATACCACAAGTTAACTCCTTTTTATCAATTGCATCTTTAAGTTGGTGCCTACTGGCCCACCCAGCCAGAGCTTATCCCAGACCTCTTGACCCGGAGTCCAGTGCACTGACTAGTTGGCCACTGCTTCTTCCACAAACATACGTATACAATACAATACTTTCGATTTGCTATGCATATGGGTGTGACTGCGATTCATTTCACCTGTAAAAGGTCCATTAAACATAACAAAACATTGAAAAAAACAATGCAAGAAAACTTAGAATCATAACAATTAAGGCAGGCCGAATGTTGTACAAAGTTCTTTTTTGTGGGTAAGGACATTTTCACCCTAAAATGTCCTTTAGAAGGGCCAGTAGTGTTCCTTGTCTCCAATGACGACCTCTGCTTAGGTTGTCACTATTACCAACAGTCCTTTTCAGGACTACACCCACCTAGACGATCAGACTAAACTATCACATGGGTATGTAAGTTACCATTTTGACTTCAAAGCACTGAATTTTTTGTAGCACTGTGAGAGGGCAAGCGGTGGCAGAATATAATGTTTAGAAGATACAATCCTGTTATCATTTAAAGGAGATCCCCTTTGCAAGACCCTACAATGTTCTAGGCCATTCAAATTACTCATACGATATGACACTTGTCCCAAAAATAAGACTAACAATACAGAAAGCATTCAGTGAGACAATTGATTCTAAAAATTCAAATACGCAAACAAAAGTGTTCTCTTTTTTAGGGTTTTGGTGCCACGTCTCGTTCAACACAAGATTGTCGCCGAGCAAATCCTACAGATATTATATGTTTCCATCAAGCTGATGTTGGGGAATACCTAAGATCTGAGGACACTTTGACGTGACAAAATACTGATAACAATAAACGATCACTTTCTGGGCATTTTATCTTTTATTTGGAATTGTAATAACATTAAACTGTAGCTAAAATATAAAGTGAAAAAAAGTAGCCTATTGTGGTGAGAGCAATACTAAGGAGAAACGTACTTTTCAATATCTATTTTGTGGGATGTTACCACTTCCTAAAAAATATAATACTGTTTGTTAGCGAGTAAAAAAAATCACTTAAAATAGAATTTAAAAAAACAAGCACTCGGTCACGTCGTAAGAACCTGAGAATAATAAACGATCAGTTTTTAGGCACTTATTTCTTATTTGGAATCGTGATTACTTTGAACTGTAGCTAAAATATTAAGTGGAAAAATAGCCTATTTTGTACGTGATGGCAATGACCAGGAGAAATGTATTTTTCAATATTTATTTTGTAGGATGCTACTCCTATCTAAAAAATTATAATACTGATTGTTCGACTCGTGAATAAAAAATAAAAAATCACGAGAAATAGAATTAGAAAGAAAACAAGCCCTCAGCCACGTCGTAAGAACCTTAACTTCAGAAATTTGTGCTGCCACCGTGGCAAGCTATTTACTTAGTTCCGACAAAATGCATGTGCGAGTAAAGATTGCTCCAAACGTTAGATTTACCAAATTTGCTCTGGCGGGTTTTCTTTCGTTGTCATTATGAGTTAAGTATACTTGGAGTTCTTTCATTCTCGGAACAAAACCTGTAAGATCTAAGCACTTTCTAATTATTTTTGTGTAATTGATATTTATTTTTTCCTCTACTTTTCCATAACTTCTTTTATGTATTTTTTGTTAAGTTTGTTGGCGTTTTTCTTCGTCAGTTATACCTTTCTTGCACGTTTCTAATACCACACGTTATTTGGCAGTCGTCTTGTATTTAAAGCCCGTTTCTTTTTCGCATAATCACTTTTTTAAATCAGTTTATCCACAGTCGCGGTTGTCTGGAAGTATTCCAGTTACTCGCTATTGTAGTTTCTATAGATCACGTTATTAATGTAAGTATTTTCGCCGTTTCGCTTCGTTTGTAGTCTTTTTTTTCTCTTTGTAATTTATTTATTTAGTTAACTTAACTTGAATTTGTGTTTTCAGTTTCAACCTATTTCTAATTCTACTACTACCGCTGGTGGAAATAAATATTCAATTGGAAAAGGTATAGCAGTTTCGCAGCTATACACCATTATCATATAGTTCATCTAAAATTCTATAAAGAAATTACCCAGTTATTTCCTGTAGTTACCTTGACAACGGTGTCATTACGTAGGTTTACCTTGGACGACTCAAAACTCGATTTGAGCCCAGATCCTCGAAATTTTCGAGAAACGGGAATCGAGTGCCGAGAGAGAGTCAAATTTCCATTGAATAGAACTGTTCGTATCTCGAAATCTTTATCAGCTTCAAGATCTTAATTAGTTAGAATAAATATATACTAGTCATATCTTTTTTTGTTTCATCAGTTATGGGCAGTTTTATTTTAATTTTGTTTTTTCTCATATTGACGGTGTGTACTTAAACCTTCTGATGCATTTGCAGCGTGGTATAGATATTGCGCCGATTTCAAATTGAAAAAACCAGGAAAGATTTATTACTCGACGTTTCGGGGTCATCATGACTCCATTATCAAGAGACTAGTTTAAAAACATGCAAATAAGGAAAGGTACAAGAATAGCATAAATTAGACTGAACGGCTTAAACAATATATTCGCATGCGTAAGCCAACACTGAACGTGCAAACGGATTCCATCCGCGCCAAGGTGTTTGTTTAAGCCGTTCAGTCTAATTTATGCTATTCTTGTACCTTTCCTTATTTGCATGTTTTTAAACTAGTCTCTTGATAATGGAGTCATGATGACCCCGAAACGTCGAGTAATAAATCTTTCCTGGTTTTTTCTATGCCTTTGCTTTAGCAAATCCCTGCTGATCAAGT